AGACACTTTTAGAAGATGTTTTGATGTTAATGTCAATTCGAGTTTGTCAGTTTGAGTTTGATAGTTCAGATATTAAATGCGTAATAAATGCTACTACCTCTTATTCTCAAACCTATATTTGTAGATTTTGTTGTGAGTCTTTAATTAGCAACGACCTAATTACAGTCCAACGGGTGTAATCACACTTTATCTTAAGTCACTCAGCATTAAGACTAATCTTCTTGGAGGTTGATCGTTCAGTCCCAACTCCTGGCCAAACGGTCGCAAGGGTCGTCCATGGAGATATATGAGTAATGGTTGATGGTTTGGTCTATGACTTGATTGGATGGTCATACAATACAAGGTCTCCCAAGCCTGAGTCTACTATGATAGTCGAAGGGGTTTCTAACGGGATCGATTCTACTCATTCGACTATCTCCTAGACCGGTTGGTTAAGACTCTTTCAGCTTTTTGAACATGTAGCTGTTGAAGGAAAGATATAACCATTGGGGGAAAAATGCATGACACTTTGAACCTCACACCATTGGAGAGATGAAAATTTGGATGTTGCGAATTGTTAGATCTTCCTTGATCCAACGGTTGAAGATGGCCCGTTAGGATGTTCCACTTGGCTATAAATAGTGGTGGGCCTCGGTTTCATTTTCACCATCACTTTCAATTTTCCTTTCATAACTGAGAGTCCATCCTTTATTTACTTTCAGGTAATAATGTCAATTGTTTATGTGTCTTCGTCTGAAGAGTTCGAAGCAAACGACGATCGAGGGTACACGGACAACACTTCTTCTTCATCGTTGATGTCAATATCAGTTTCGTCCTCCATTCAGGATCAAACGAACGAGATGCACATTCAGATGACGAGGTGGTCGTTCTACATAGAAATCAGGTTGTGCCACTTGGCGATGAGGAATCAGCAGTGGCGATAGATTGCTTCATCTAAGACAGCTAAGTAGAGTTGTAATCCACTCCCTGCGACTAACCGAGTCATAACGGGCTGGCTGGCTAGTGAAGTCTTTATTTCCATGAACACAAACTCAAAATACTCGTCTCATTTGATGGAAGAGCTCTTCTTCACAGTCTTTAGGACAAGTTTTATCTCCTTGACTAGCTTGGGATGAAATGGGAGAGGGTTTTATCTTTATTGTTGCATCTCTTTAAGATTTTGTAGGCTCCTCATCTCTAGGATGGTTGAGCATTTGTTCAGCTTTGTCTCAGTGCCTCGTGTGGTGAGCATGAAACCTAGAAACTTCCTTACTCTAATGCCAAACATGCATAGAGGGACTCAGTCGCATACCTAATCCGATCAAAGACTTCCTCCACGTTTTTTATGTACTCCTTGACCGACTGAGACCTCGCCACCAATGTCGTCGACATAAACGTCCATGCACCTATCAATCTGATGGTGAAAGATTTTGTACATCAAACGTTGATATGTGACCCCAATAGTTTTTAGGTCGAACGACATGACTTTATAGCAGAAGTTTGCTCGATTGGTGATGAAGGTCGTCTTGTCTTGGTTTAGATGATACATGGAGATTTGGTTATACCTCGGGTATGCATCCAAGAAGCTTAATATCTGGTGACCTGACGCACCATCCACTAGACCATCAATATGAGGAGAGGATAAACATCCTTCGATAAGGCCTTGCTGAGGTCATTGAACTCTATTCACATACTCCACTAACTATTCGCCTTCTTCACCAAAACTATATTAGTTAACCATGTGGTGTGTGTGAGCTCCCGAATGAAGTCAATTTCCTGCAACTTCTTCACTTCGGGCGACCCTTTTTTTCTTCTCACCTAGACGAAGTTTCTTTTGCGCCCTTAGGCGGGCTTCCTTTGACAAGGATAACTTATGGGACATCACCACTGGGTGCATGCCCGACATGTTAGTTGTCATCCAAAAGAACAGGTCATTATTGGCCTTTAACACATTCGCCAACACTCGCTCATGCTTTCCTTCCAAGCCACTTACCATGTTTGTAACTTGCCTTTCATATTTTCCCAAGGCTGTTTAATCTCGCCTTGCGGTTCCTTTCGGTCTTTAGTGTTAGTCCTGGGATCCAGGTCAGCCATGGCCACTTCAAATCGTTTGCCCTTGCGTGAAGGTACGTAGGGTCACCTTTAACCCTACAATGTAGCATTCCCGTGCGATCTTTTGCTTTGCATGGACGGTGCATATTTTTTCCCGATCATATGGAAACTTCATGGCGAGGTAGGGTGTGAAGTCTATTGCGCCGAACGCGTTGAGACATGGTCACTCGACCAACACGTTGTAAGAGGTGTTAGCCTCCACAAGAAGGTACCTTACTCTCATCTCTTTTTTGTCTTGGTCAGCCCCCAATCTCGTACAGAGGTCCACGTAACCTCGCTCCCCTATGAAGCCTACAATTTGCTCATTGTGTGGAACAATGAGGTCTTAGACAAATCGATCTTTAGGAAAGTCTTCCAATACAAGATGTTGACCGAACTCCCTTAGTTAATCAACATCTTGCTAACCCTGTACCAAGCGATCTCACCCGTTATGACCATGGGATTGTCCTTTTTGGGATTAAGCACTTCAAAATCCTCATCGTTGAACGTGATGGCCGACATAGACTCGAGATTCTTATGCACAAGGTGGACCGTCTTTAGAGCTTTCATGTGACGCTTGAAATAACTGAAAAACACTAGAAGGGGGGAGTTGAATAGTGTTGTGGAAAACATTTTCACAAACGTACGTTCAATAACTTTTGGTGAGAGTTAAATAGTTTACACAAGTTGTTAGACGCTCGATTTATAAGACATTGTTTTAAATGTAACATGTTTAAGGGTAAGGTATTTCTAGGGCGTTCTGCAAAGCTACTATAGTGTTTTAAGAAAGATAACTGCTAAGAAAAATAATGTTTAGTGACAAGAGCTTTATAAACAATTATGTTAATAAGCAACTGCATAGTTTGTAAGTAAAATGTTTTGCAAGGATGAAGCAATAAGCACACAAATATTTTATACTGGTTCACTCAACATAGCTACGTCCAGTTGTTCTCTAAGACCTCTTAGAGGGTTCCACTATAATCTTTCAACAATATTACAACTGATTATTAACACCACTATTGGTTACACCTAGTCAATCCCAATAATCCACGTTACACTAATTAGAACCAAATATCACCCACTCCTGGTTGCATAATATTCTTTACCACTCCTGGTATCCCTAGACAATCCTGATATCTTCCTGATACGCTGTCTAGTTGAGCTTCACCCAAACCTGATTTTCACTAAACAATCCTTGTATCAACCTGATACGCTTCCTAACTAGCGTTTAACATAACTGAGTTAATTAATAAGTGTTTGAATTCTCTTTAGAATGTGCAATCAATCAAATTGCTTATAAGTCTTAGACAATTACTCTCATAGAGAGGATGTGTTTATAATACAATTCAATTTAATAGACTTTGTAGGATTTTCTCTCTACTTACTAATGTAACCTTATAACTCTATGAAGCTTGACAATATGTTCTTTCACTGGTATGTGCTTTGCTTTTCAAATATTATTTTCGTTGTTCACGCGTCTATTCTGTTGATATTCTCTTCAAGGATCTTCAATTTGTAAGCTTCATGAGAAAATATCTGTTAGATAGTGCTTGTTTTTTATCTTCGGATTTCCATAGCCCTTTTGTAGGTAGCAGTTGTAGGTTGAAGTCAACTTGTCACAACATACATGTTTTTTCAGTACTTTATCAAAAATAGGTTGTACGAACTTTTCAGCGCGACTTTTTATGGTAAGAACATTCGATGAATGTTTTCTTTGTCTCTAATGTCCACTTCTAACTTGTATATGATATAACAGGTGGATACTTGACATAGACAATTGCAAAGAGTACAATAGATATGCATGCATACAAATATGTCATTTTTCTTATCACTTTTGTTGTTTTGAGACGTTGTGCATGTAATGCTCTTTGATGCGTGCTCATAACAACTGTGTTTTTCAAGTTTAAATAAGATTTTATCGTTTAAGCGTTTTGAAAAGATACCAAGTAGTTCATAAAGGTTTCATCGTTAGATAAAGATATCATTTTGTAACAAGGTATTGTTTAGCCTATACAAGACATTTACTAACAACGATTCGTTTAGAGATCTTTGTTCAATATAAGAGTGCGTTTAGCAAGGTGTTGTTCAACACATTTATTTTTTGGAGCGTTGTTTATATCTTTTAGCATGTTTACCAAAAACATCATTTTGCAAGATATTATGAGAGCTTGTTTAACATTGTTTAGCAATGTATAACAAGAGCACGTTTAGCAAGGTATATACAATAGTCCAAAGGGTCTCACTATTGTTCTTCACTCCTTGTCTGTCGTGGTCCTTTTTCCAATACTACTCAAAGGGCACCTACAAAATATGTTCTATTGCCAAAGCGAGTTCGAATTTGACACTTTAGATATTAAATGCTTGGTAAATGTAATAATCTATCTCCTTTTCTCAAACCTGTATTTATAAATTTCGTAGTAAGTCTTTGATTGACAACAACCTAATTACAATCGAACAAGTGGTAATCATACTTTATCTTAAGTCACTCAACATTAAGGTTAATCTCCTTGAAGATTGATCATTGAGTCACATTTGTTGGCCACACGATTGTAAGAGTTGTTCATAGAGATGTCTGAGTAACGATTGATCTTTTGGTATGTGACTTGACTATCATACAATACAGTACATTCAACAAAATTGTTATTATTTTTTTTAAAAATTCGAATATATACAATTTGGTTAGACATCCAAATGCACAAGATTTATGAGTCCATGATTTTTTTTAAAAATAATGTAATTTAATTTAAAAAATATATATATAAATAAATTTTCAAAATAAATTGAGAATTAGAGGGTTAGGTTATCTTTTATTTTTTTATATGATAAAATTATTTTAACGTAAGAAAGGTTAAAATTGTTTCATTAGAAAATCACGACCAAAGAAAAGGCACTTAGGAAGTGGTATAATACAGCTTATGATTTTATAATGTAGATGTAAGAATCTTAGCATTTTAATGGTTTCAATAAATCTTCATTGTAAAATCAAAATCCGCCATCAGCAAAATCGAGTAGCTTAGTTCACACTTGTTTTGCATCTTCCTCTGCGCCGCCGTCACCGCCCGCCATCGGCAGAAGCTCTCATCTTCAGAGCAAAACAATGGCCTCATTTGTTTCTACCGATTGTATCCTCCCCATTGGATTTGTGCGTGGCCAAGATGGTTCCTTTGCTACAACCAGCATTTTACATTTTCATAATTCTCCTAAAACCCTAAGCCCTCTCTCCTTTTCGCTCTCTCTGCGTGGTTACATTCCTAATCCTTTCTACCATTTTGGTTACTGCTCATATTCGTGGTCAACGAAGAATCTGATTTTCCTGGTTTTGTTTAATTCTCTGATTTCTTTCTTCAGCTTCAGAAATTAAGCCGAGCTTTGCTGTTCAGAGGAAGGGTGGATCTTCTTTGACACAGACAAATGCTGTGCGGAATCTGACAGGTTCTGTTACCAGAACCCAAGGACTTCGTTTTGCTGTGGTATGTATCCATGTATACCAAAATTATTAGGTTATTTTGTTAGTTTTTTCCCAAATATTTGTGGGAAAAAAGTTTTGAAGTTAGGTTTATAACAATAACCTTTTGAAAAAGCTGACATGAATGAACTTTTATAAATTAACTTGTACAATTTTTAATTTATTGAAAATTTTATCTCATGTTTTTCTTATGGTACAAGTACGTACGCCGAAGTTTATCTGAAAAGAAATGTCAAACTGATTCTGGCTTTTTGTCTTAGGCCATGAGTTTTGTTGGTCTTACATTATTGTCCTGCGTTGTTTTCCAGTTGGGCAGTGTGTCTGCCGTACATATTGTGTTAGAAGGGGGAAAAGAGTGTCAATATGAATGAAATATTATTCTTGGAGTTAGGGCTTGCTGCTTTTAGTTTTTTAACAGAAAACCCTTTACATTCAACACCTGTTGTTGGACGCAAGAAGGTTAGAGAACTTAGTGGGTCTTTTATATTTGAGGTCCATAGTATAAGAATTGGCAGAGTGGAGTTTCACTGGAGGCATGTGGGGATAAGGACTAAGGTGATTGAAACCTTAGGGATGGGTGGTTTAAAGAATCATTTAGGTTTTCATTGGCTGAATTATTTATGACGTCTTCCAGAAATCGGGTCTGGTAGAAAAGCTAAATAAAACAAGATAGTAATTGAGAGGAAGAGAAGGGCATTGGCATTAATGGATGATTTCCCTCATAATTGCAAAATTTGTGGTATTAGGCTAACGAGAACAGTTTAATAGACACTTGGAGTGGCATAATCTAATTAAGGCATTAAGAAGTTGGGATGCTAAGTCAGGTAATTGGATTGACTGCTAGCATGGCATAATACTCATCTGGTTGGAGCTTACGTACTCTATTGATGTACATGACAAAAAGATAGATAGATCTCAATTGGATATAATGATTTTAGCAGATGAAAACCAATGCTCGTCAAGCTATTTGCAGATGTGTACATTCAGGAAAGGAATGAGTGGATGTTCAAAGAGATCGTTTGCATAAGCCACGCAGACAGCCATAAATAGATGGAAGTATGGATCATTCATGTTGGATGCTTATCAGAGAGCTTACTTGTCACCAATTCGGGTACTGATTAATTGTTTACTCTTAGCATTTGATATATGCTGTACACAGAAGCTTGCCAACAGTACCCACACTGTTTATATTATATACTAAATTTTGACAATCCTTTAACTGGTCAGTAGAGAAGACTGAAGAGGAAGTAAGTAAAGGGGTAGAGAATAAGATATTATCCTAAAGAAGGCACCGAAAATATGAGAGAGAAAACATTGCAGGAGAATCTGATGAGCACACTGTTCTCTATGTATTTGACACACAGTTCCCTCTAAAGCCATTGCAGACAAGGATCACAAATTGATACCACCAAATTACTCCATAGGAGTATACACCATCAAAGGATGTTTTTATACTTCTCCTAGACCGAAAATGGTTGACTAGTAATTTGTCCAAATCTTTGAACAAGAAAAACTCTAATTCCCCCACAGAATACTAAAAAATTTGTACCTAGATGTTTGTTAACGGCACAAAACAAACATCTTTGTGTGGCCAGATGTGTAACGAATTATTTTTATTACTCCTATTAAACACAATAGGCCAAATGAAAGACTTCCCCTTAGAAGGAATCCTGAACTTCCGAAGTTGGATTGCAAGAATAAAGTTCACTTTTTGGAGTATGCATGAGGAACTCCAACATAGTGCCCAAACACTTTTCAACAGATGAAGATGATAAAATGATGAAACACAGCAAGGGTGAATTCCAATTTTAAAGCTTTTTGGTGATTGATTAAGGCTTTGACAATAATGAAAATTTTAAGAGGTGGAAGTCTTTTGGAGAGAGTGGAAAATGAAAATGGAATGGTGTTGATAGAGGAATATGAATTAGAGAAACGTGGTAGTGAATCACGCAGAAGTTATGATATTCTGTTTCAAGATTTTGCATTTATTTTCTACTTCAAACTGGATTGTACTTGTAAGTTTTTCTAGTTCTCTTACGTTTCGTTTCTCATTTCCATTTTTGCTTTTAGGTTGTTGCACGATTTAATGAAATCATTACTAAGCAGCTCTTGGAGGGAGCTTTGGGTACTTTTAAGAATTATTCAGTTCAAGATGAGGACATTGATGTAAGTGAGCTGTCTTGTAAATTCTTGGAATATTGATTATTTGTGATATACACTGTTTCAATTGTAATTTGGTTAAGTCTCCACTTAGCATACTTTTTGAAATTTATTTTTGTTTTCTCACTTATTCTGTTATGTAAATTATTGAGTTTTACTGAATATGAAGTAAAGCAAATTTATGCACCCGTCATAGGCTAAAACCTTGAAAGCACATATGGCATAGAACATGGATATAATATGGAAAATTTAAAAAGTTCTTGGACATGATATGGCTATAATTCAAAATATAGAATTAAAATAAAACAAAAAATTTAAATGAAATAGAATCAATGTTATAACAATGAACCAAGTCATAGTAGATACAATAAATGCAACTATTTATCCATTTTTTTTAATTTTTGGCTTGTAAGAGTTTAAGAAATAAATGTAAAATAAAAATTGTAAACTGCAGCAAGTAGAATTTGAAATGTCTGACTAGAGATGTGTTTGACCCAGGTAGAACATGTCACAACTACTTTTGAAGGGCCCATGCTTCCTTGGCTAAAACAAGAGGCCGATCTTTTCTTTTTTGTCGCTCTCATATTTTTCTCTAATCATGCATTGGAGATTATAAAATATTTACTTCTGTATCTTATTGCAAACTTTTGCATTTATTTCGTTTAGTTTTAGCTTGGAGTGTTAGCTGTATAATTTTTTCAC